ATAAATTAAATATAATAAAATGGTAATGACCCCTAAAAAAATATTTTATGTAATACATTATAGTAATATATCGATAAAACCAAAAAATTAAGCACTTTTTGAAGTACTTAATTTATAACTTACTACTTTGTTACGTGAATTTGCGTAGGATTGTATTCTCTTTTTTATTGTTTCATACACGCAAGTTAAATGTGACTTTTAAAAGAACGAAGGATAAATCACGTATATAGTTGAGTGTAAGATTCGCGGCTGCATATCATTTTTTATTTATTTATCAATTTAATTTTAAGACTCACAAATACATTGTATATATTATTTTTCTTTAGTTCGATATCTTACTATATTTTGTAAGGATAATTCAGGGAACAAGCGACGAAGAATATTGACATGAGTAAAATACAGCAAAATATGCAATGCGTAATACAGGCAATTAACTATTTTAGTGACAAATATTTTAATTCACGATCCATGTTTATGCTCTAAAATTTATATTATAGTGATATAAAAACATTAAATTCTGTAATCATGTACATGATCTATTAATTAAATCAAAATTATATTTATATGAAAAAAATTAAAAGTGAATTAAAAATGTTTGTGTATCTATAATGTATTATTTAATCTTTATTGCACAATTTACTTGTGTGTTTGTGTTCTTTTTATGATACTGGGATTAAATTATAATGTTTTGTTCTGAATCACCCTTGAATCTTTGATATCAATTAATTTTTTTTTCATTAACTTAAATGTATGTGTATATTAAATATTCAACTTATAAATTATCATTTTAGATTATATAATTGCGATTCCATAAATTATGGCATTTTGTACTTGTATAATTTATCCTGTAATTTATAAAATAGTTAAGTCTCGCAAAATGTGTCTTTGCGTTGATATCGAAATAATAACCTAAATTATCGTCTTTCTTAGACTAATTTTTATTTTTAATAAAATGTACTAAGTCTGGTTAATAGTACATAAACCATCATAACAGAATATCCATTTTAGTACAACACGTCAATCAGCCAGGCCAAGAGTAAAAGAAGAACCGCCAGAGACGGCACCCGTCTCATCTTCCAAGGCGACTAGGTAAATTAACTTTCCATTACAGTGAATGCATATAGATCTAAGAATGCATATAGATCTGTGTAGGCCAATAAATTCATATCCTTTATATTCATTTTTCATTTTGGACATTAGATATCAAGAAGAAAAAATATATGTAGCATACTAAATAAAACAAGCTTTAATAATAATTTAAATAATCGAATAGATAAAAAATTGTTCTTCGATATATAATTTTCTATTGCTGGATTTAATAAGGGAAAAATTAGAAAGAGGCATATTATTTTTAGGTATTTATATTACTGTTGTAAAAATTACAAAGTTATGTATTTCGTTATAATTGCATAATCTCTGTACTTGTTGCGTGCCGACTTATTTATATTTATGCGCTTTTGTGCACAAAATACATCGGTTAGTAGAATTATTAAAGGAAATAGAGTTAGAGAGATAAAAATATAAGCATATATTTATTTGTATTTATGAATAACATGAGATTAAGATTTGCAGTAAAGTGAATTCGTAGATATAACGAAATATGTAAAGTATTAAAGTAAGCATAATTGCCTGACGTGACTTGTGTAGGTATTATGATGATCGCTACAGAGAACGCGAACGCGAGCGAGATCGAGAACGAGAATCAAGCCGAAGACCATCTGAGCGGGAACGAGAACCAGAACGGGAACGTGAACGAGAACGAGATCGTCGAGATGAACGTGGAGACTCCTCACATCGCTCAAGACACTAAAAAGAAAGCATTGAAGACGGTGCAAGTAGGACATGTCAATGATATAGGATCCATGATGAAGCAGTAAATGTGACAACACATACTCGCACACTGCGCAATCCTCCCTTTTCTCTTCTTTGAAGTAAAAGTATATTACGTTGCTTTTAATGCACGAACATTTGAGACATCCAAAGATTATTGATGATTATTAATGGCACATGGCGTTATATCAAGAAACATTATAGAATACATACGGTAAAAGGGTAATTTCGAGATTTGTTTAATAAATTGCTGCTAGAATAGTGCGAAAATTTAATAGAACTAAACGTTCCACATAGAATTCTGAACGTTCTTGTCTTCTTTCGAGATAGCCGAAATGAAACTCAATATAGAATTGCTGTGAAATCTCTTCATTAATCGCGGAGTCCTTTTGTCTTACATATATATGTATTAATATGATAGTGCACTACATGTATACGCGTATACATTTATCCATGTAACTGTGTTATGATTAAGGAAATATACATTTAGTCCGAGAGTGGATTTGTAAACGAATAGTTATCGCATATGAATAAGAGTCGAGGGAAGATAAGAAGTAAAAAAATAATATCTTGATTTGGGATCGTCCAAGATCATAATTTGTAGTGACAAGAAACAAGATGTTGACAATGACAAGAATATTCTTTTGGAGAGAAGGAAGAACGAAGATATCTCATCAGCCTTCTGCATGGACGATTCAAGATTGTATCTTAACGTAATACATATATACGCTTTCAAAAAATATAAATGCTAAACATGTCTTTACTTTATTCATCTGTACACACAAATTCCTGATAACAAAAAGAAGAGAACTATGTTTTTATTTTTATGATTTTATGAAGTTCCCAAGTTCACAAGTTTCTCGAAAAGGTGGATCGTTATATGTAAATATGTATTAATTTTTCGATATGTATCATCCATGTAACTAAAAAATTTTTCACTTATCATGAAAAAATTGCGCATCTGAAGGATAAAATAGAAAACAATCATATATTTATATACATATACATACACACACACACGCGCGCGCGCGCGCGCGCGCGCGCGCGCGTGTGTGTGTGTATATGTATATATGTATATATCTCAAAGTGAAGTAAATTTGAATTTATTATTCAAATATATATAATATATAATCATATTATTAATTCATTAATATATTATTCGCTTTTTAAAGAAATAAAGATAGAGGAACAGAATAGATTTTATAATAAGAAACTAGAAATAAACATGCTACTCATGTTTGTGAGCTATAGATTGTTGTTATATATCTTTTACAAAAATTTGCAGCTCAATCTACTATTGTTATTAATAATAATAGATTGTATAAAACATATTATTGTTTTATATCAATAATAATATCTTTATATGTATTATATGAATTTTAGAAGAGATTTTGGAAATTATCTCACAAATTGATCACAACAAATTTTTGATCTTTTGTGTTGTAAATTATAACACTAAGTTAAAAAGTGCATGAAATTTTTGTTATAATCGTATTGATGTGCTATTTGAAGTATAAAATCAATAATTAGAGTTATGTTATTGATATAAAAATAATATTATGAGAATTAAAAGTTAATATATAAGATATAATATTAATAGCCAAATTGTTCACTTAATATTATACATCAGCGTCGTATTTGTATTGTAAAAAACATTAATATTTCAAATGTATGATAAATTGTATATTTTTTATTTTTATAAACAAATCAGGTGAACAATTTGACTATAAGTAAATTTTTTTAATTTGTTTCTGCAATACGTTAATATATCTTGCATAATACAATCATCAATCTTAAATTAAAATTTTTAACAAAATAACTTTGTTCGCCACCTATTGATATTTTATCTATGTTTAAACTATGTGCATTTGACTTTTTAAATGGTATATTAATCTTCGTATTCATGAATTTATTAAATGAGCTAAGATTTGAATAAAATTTCGCTAAATTGACATAATAATGTATCCTAGAAAGGAAAATGAGAATAGTAAGAGTAGAAAGAAACAAAAATTTTTTATATGTGTTTTTATCTATAATTTAATCCGAGGTATTTGACCAAGATATAAATGTTTGAACAAGAACATATAAATGTTTTTTCTCTAACATATTACTTTCTAAAAACAAAAAATATGTCTTTAATTTTACGCTCAATTAGCTGTAATGTAAAGTTGCAGGATCGACTTTCTATCTCTTTCTCTTCTTTTATGAATATAAGAAATAAATCTTAAGAAAGAAATATATACATGTTAAAGAAACGTGTATATTTTCAACAGCATGATTCAAACATTCCTTCTATTAAGAAAATTAAGAAAATTATGAATTATTCCATGTAATTTTGATAAACAATTTTATTGAAATTTCTTATTGATGATATATACGTTTAACGTGTTACGATCTACTATCTACTATTTGTTTACAAAAATCTCTTAAGACAAGTCACTTCTACACAATTTATGCGTATTCAATGTTTTAATTTTATTTATGTCAAAGTTTGACACTCAAGAAATCTTTTAACTATTTTATATGTATTTAGGTAGCTAAATCTGCCAAGAATATATATATATATATCTGTTTTTTATAGCTGAACTGATATTTTTTGGAATTTAAAATAGATGTATATGTAATATTTGGCTAAAATGAGTTCAGTCCAGTGCAGGAATAAAAAACAGACCATATGTATTACAAAGTATGTTAGTACTTAATAGAACGCCAGCAACAGCCGAGTACATTCTGTTATTTTTCTAATATCCAGTAGAAAACGAACCTTTCATTATGATATCTTGATGAGAAAGTATACTTCATTCTTGCTGCATTTCTGTTATGTTATTTATGACTGGCAAATTGTAATGGCAGAAACTAAGCTTAAAAAGATCATAGCGAATAGAAACGAATTTTGACAACTAGCAGACATACTGCTAGTATTATTTGGCTGTACACTATTCTAAATCTACAGTGTCAAATTCAACCTAATGTAAGTTGCCACTGTTCCTACTCAATATATCGTTATTTTATAAAGATAAAAAATGATTATAAAAAATTAAAATAATGGTTATATTTGATTCTATACAATGTCAAATTGACACGATATAATGTCAACTTTAACTATTGTTTTAATATAAAATAAGAATATATTTGGTAACTGGAGCAATGGCGATTTAAATTAAGTTAAATTTGATACTCTAGATTTAACAGTGAATGTGTTACATACACACGCGCGTGCGCGCGCGCAGAGTATCCTATTTTAATTGCCCCAAACAAAATTTCAAAAAATATGAAAGATATAGAAAAACGTTTCAAACAAAAGTTGTAAGGTTCGAAGGGAGACATAAGAAGGTACTATTGATTTGATCTTAGGTAATGCTGCTAAGGTCAGATCAAAGTCACTTCGAATTTTTTACATGAAATCCCCTTTTTTCATTATATATTTTTCATTATATATCTTATAGTTTACCTCGAGAGCTTTTCAAATAAAATATTTTTTATTATTTATATAATATTTTTGGCATGCTACTTAAATGTTACTAAGGCAAAATTATTGTTTAATATTTTTACTGAATCATTCGAGAATGGCATATTGTGATAAATTAGTATTGAATTTTAAAATGCTTTTTTAATGAAATTCCATTGTTTTTAAATTCATTCGAAAAATATTTCGATCATAGCTTTTTTTTATTAATAAAAATCTGAAGCCATTCTCATACGTAGTGTTATCGCAGATATTTTAGTGATATGGTATTTACTTGAGAAAAGCATTATATAATTATAACGTGACATGTTTTACAGATATCGAAATATCTTTTGAAATCGCGCACATTATATTCATATTATAGAATCGTTCTGTCTAAAAGATTAAGAGATAGTTTTTCTGACGTTGCCATAGAAGTAATTTCAGGAGTATATATGTTACTAATAAATTGTATAAATTATCGATAGCTTCATTAATTAGAATATTCTATTATTGATGTTTTGCGCATGGTTTTGTGCGATCGCAAGTATAATTGTCTGTATAATTTACTCCTATGTATATTTAGCAATTTTTACTCAAACTTTGTTTGCTAAGTGCACATTACTTCGAAAAAGAATGAGCTGTTTACTCAACAGACTCAGAAACCGCAACCATTCCGTCGACATACTATAAGTCATTATTGCGATTATTTGTCATATCTTTGATTTCACGTAGCATTTTATTTGCGTAATAAAATAGTCGCTCTCGTTTGAGAACGACGCGAATAAAATTTTCCTGGGAGCGATATGTATGGACGTAATGGGTAAGTGTAACAACCGAATGAAACTCTACGTTTAATTATATTTAATTTTAATTTTAAGTGTATTATTTTTGCGTACAATACGAATATGCATTTTTTTCGTGAAAAATAGACACTTCCATTTATCTTTATGATATTCTCTAAAAGAAAAACAAAAGAGGTTGTATTTGTAAACGATTTGATGTAAAACATGATTTGATATTTCAATTACATTAACATGTTATCCACTGTGCATGTGTTACTAAAATTCTATCAAATATTACTGTACGTGTTATTTTTTTATTTTAATTTTATCATAATCTATTGTTGTATATACACAATTGTTAAAATAATTTTATATAAAACATTTGCACAGCGGAGAGCAATGATGTTAATACTATTTATACAAAGTGTTTTCTCTTTATATAATTCGATCTTGCAATAATTGTCTATTAGTAAAATTATTAGGAGAAAAATTTATCAATAAGATTATAAGCTCCTTTCAGAAGATCTGTAATTCACATCAGATTTCACAGAATATTTTATATATAATTTATTTATTATTTGTCTATATTTTGAAATATATTTTAACACACACATATATTTTATGTGTGCATGTTTTTCTGAGATTTTTCAAATATTTTCTATGTATTAAATGATAAAATTTATAAATAAAATTTATAAAGTTTTTATTCTGAATTATGGATCATCTAAAATGGGCTTCATTAGAAATATTTGTCAAAGTTTTCTCCTCCATCATTACTCAAAGAATAGTGTTTCGTTTTATAAAAATTTCAGTATTTGATTAATATTAAAAATGATAAGTGTTGCACAAGTTTACAAGAATGGAAGCATAAAACTAACAAATTGTCTATCCGAAGAGAAATTTTCCAATTATTATATTATATAAAATTTATAAGAAACATATAAGAAAGTGATATATTAATATGCGATATATTTATTGTAATGAAGTATTTTATTCGGATTATGCAAAGATAAACACTTACGTTTAATGCAAGTTTGACAAGTTATGGCAGTTTTACGATATTCATTAAGAAAGAAGATGAAACGTCCGTTAATGAACAATTTAGTGTACTCACTAACTCAATATTTTGCTCAAAAATTCATAATGTTCAAAATCGTGTTATGCCATAGCTAAATATTCTGTATATTGATATATTGTAGGGAATTTTAAAATTTAATATCTGTATCTGTTAACTTTTTTATACTTTTTTAAATAATCATATACAAAATATATATATAAATTTTGTAAAAAGTTAGGTATAACAAAGATTATCTAGTCATATTATCATAGGAAATCAAAGTAAAATTTTATACATTCTATTGTTATTTGAACTGTGATATACATCGATATGCATCGATATACATATTTATGCGAAAGTTTTTTATTAGTAAATATTTTTCTGAACTTAACAATTCCATAGAATAGTTTTGCTTTTCTCAAAAAAAAAATTCGGTGCTATGCATTACAATTACACAAC